TTTTTCAAACATAATTTTGAATGATTATGTAAAATTGAAAAATAACAGTAAAACTGAAAGTAAATGTATTAAAAACCAACAGGTAACTCCACATTTCCAAGCTGGGCCTGTTGGAACACAGTGTGCTGACACCAAAAAACGTAAACTAAATACTTTTAATTAGGTTAACTGCATTAGCGACTCATATATATCACGATTATTTCGTATTTTTAAATTTTTTAGAGCTATTTTATATTCAGACGATTTGAATCGAATCGAACTGTCCTCTTTTCCAAAATTAAATTTAGTTCTTGAACGTTACACGGAGACGGAGCACACAGCCGCTGGCGGCCGACGTTCACAGGTAGCACTACCATGCCGTCCGAGCGCGGTGTTGCATTTCTTTCATCACGGCTCGTAGTTGACGTCGGCTGTGCTAGAATCTTTTCTGCACTTTGTAAAGATGTGGGTGCAGTACATTCAGCATTACTACTTTATTACGAGGTATCACGTGGGAAATGTTTACAACGTGTTTTTTAAGTAAGACATCAAATCACCGTTTTTCTAGAAGAAGAAAACTGACCGGAAGCCGAGATGTTTTGAGATGGTTTATTTCTGATGAAATTGAGCTACTTGGTCGACATTTAGTCCAGAAACTAAATATCTTGAACCTTAAGCTCCAAGGAGCAAATACACCTATATTGGATACGAGCGAAAAAGTTAACGCTTTTTGTAGAAAATTAGAATTGTGGAGCAGAAATTTAAAGCAAAAAAACCTGGACAAGTATGCAAATGTGGATGAATGTATTAAAACTTACAAGGTTGAAGAACAACTCATTAAAGTTGTTTCCATAACCATTGAAAATCATTTAGCGATGCTGACAACGAATTTAAAAAAATATTTTCTTGCCGAAGACAACTTACTGCCGAAGAAGAAATCTTCATAAACTTGACGGCAAACGCCGAAATCAAAAAAACAGTTCAATAATAAATCCCCCCCCTTCGTTTTTGGCAGGCGTAAACGATCAGTTTTCGGAACTGATAACCAGAGCCTTTCGTATACTACTTACCATTTTCAACAACATACCTTTGCGAAACAGGATTTTCGGCAGTGGCTGCTTTGAAGACCAAATATAGATCGCAGCTAAATATAGAAAAAGAACTCAGAGTGTCACTAGTGGTTATTATTATTTCTTACAATTAATATTATTAAACTTATTTTTAATTTAGTATTGATAAATACAGTCCTGTTTATAAATGTACCTACTATGTTAGTGTCAATGTGTATTTTATTTTTGATTACGTCAGAATTTTGTTTCGCTTTCCTTTTAGTAAATTATTCCATGTTGTTGGTGTTTTTTCTGATATGCTCGCGCCCCCTTTAATATTGACACGCCCCCGTAGTGGGGCGCGCCCAATAGATTGAGAAACGCTGTCGTACTGTTACAACTTCAATAAATAAGTAAGTTTCGGCCTTACGTTATTTAGGAGCTTTCAACTGGCAATGTATTCTGTCTCTAATGATATACTTCATTAAATTGAATTCATAAAATATCAAAATATAATTAAATCATTCTATATAATACTAAAATGATCATGTAACATCGATAAAAATGTTGAGCAAAATATTCCAAATATTCAAAAGAAAGCGCTTTAATAAAATGCATTTTATTCGAGTGGAACATTTGTCACCGAGTGACTCCATGCGTAAGGAGGGCATATTCTCTCGAGTTATAGTACCATGAATGTGGTCTCTTCGCCATTGAACAATTAACCATGCTGCTCTCACGATGTTATGGCGTTGCGGCTGCCCAACAGCTAACGCAAGAATACTGTGAATAGCACGGTATTGCGAGGACTATACAAGATTTTCATCTATCTGATCATTAAACATCAAACACTCAAATTGATAAAACATGCAATGAATTATTAAGGTAAGAAATAATCGTGGAAGCTCTCTGATACATCGTCATTTGAATCACTTGCGCATGCAAGAGTATAGTTTACCCCCTCTTGCAGCATGGACTTATCATTAATGAGGTTTTTTCCATCAGAAAAACAACTAAAGGCAACAATAAGCATTACCAGTACTCAAGACCAATTACTCAATTTTCTTTTTTATCATTGTTCTGTTTTTTCGAGTCTCATTTTATATTAAACATCTGACCCTTAAGGTTTTTAAATACCCTATAAGAGTCAAGATTCCGGTGATTATACCAACTTGATATGTAACCCTTCACTTAAATGTTTTCAAATTACGATGTATAGTCTGGGGCAAATATGTACAATTACGAGTACTTCTGAAGGTTACATTTAATTCCAGTGTGCTGCTGTGTCAACTAGCAGCTTAGTAATTGGAAAACTTTTATTTACAACCAACAAATATAAGGTCTTCATTTAACTAAAAATAGGTACGTGCAAATAAATAATTCTCGCTGATGCTTTGTTTTGTACAGGGTGACTTGTAATGTCACGTATTCCTGTTAAGGGGTGATAGATTATGCCAAAAGCAACCGATTTTGTCCTATAATGTCCTATCCAGAAGTTAATCGCTTTCGAGTTATTTGAATTTTATTTTTTTTATTTTTTATTCCGATTTCAGACGGTTAAATTTGAAATACAAAAAACTATATTTTTGTTTTTGAGTTTTTTGTTATCGTCACATAGCGGACATTCCAATAGTTCATAATAAGTAATAAAATGTTGAAAAGTTTTAAAATTACGCTTTTGAAATGTATGATTTTCTTATTTTTTTACGAACTTATTCGATAAAAAATGCAATTTTCTGTAAAAAATCTCCTAGTAATGAAATGTGCAAATTATGTAAATAATATCTCTATTTAACAAGCTTTCATTTGAGGTATTAAACGTTACAACTAACTCAAGTACAAGGACATAAAATTAAAAAAAGATGAGTAAAGTTGTACGAACGATAATTACATAGGATAAATAAAAGGCTTTTATTTTAATTACACTTTTATTTAATTACATTTCCTTTAGTATTTTACAGATTCTGCTCAAATTGTAATCCCCTGTTACGAATACACTCCCTCATTCTCTTACGTAATTCACTTTTGGTAATACTAGTTGTTAAGCGGCTTTTTATTTGGTCAGCTGCACTGATTATCCTTGTAATTAATTCATCGCGCGTTGGTACGGGCGAAACATCGTACACCAGGCTTTTCATATGTCCCCACACATAGTAATCCATCGGTGTGAAATCTGGGCTTCTTGCTGGCCAGGCAATGGGCCCGCCTCTGCCAATCCATTGATTTGGAAATTTAGAGTCTAAATACGCCCGTACTAATCTACTGTAGTGTGCGGGACAGCCGTCGTGCTGGAACCGCATATTTTGTCTCGTCGCCAATGGGACGTCTTCCATTAATGGGAACAAGTGATTTTTCAAGAACTTCATAGACTTCTCAAAATCCATCAATGTTGCCCATCCACACATTGACTGAAAACCGGCTCTGAGACCCCGGAGGTCTTATTGTTCGGGGGTTTAAAGCTTCTTTATTCTTCAGTCCAGTAATGAGCATTATAGTACTTAGTGATCCCGTCCTTATCAAACTTCGATTCATCGGTCCACATAATTTACTTAAAATAGGCTGGATCTTCTGTATCTGTAACATGTACCTGCAGGATCGCCCTCTTCAATCACATGCACAGGCGTGTAGTGATAAGGGTATAATCTTGCAGTATGCACAGTAAACCATACTTTGTATTATGATATACCCAAGCCACAATGCGCGTAGACGTAGTAGGGACTTCCTGAAACACACGAAGGATTTCCTCTTCATCTTCAGGAGGATTGACTCCGGGTCGACCAGCATCACTGTTGCCTTTGAACACGTCCGGTTTGGCGGATGCGCCGATACACAGAGTCAAACACAGTAACATGAGGTGTTCGGCGATTCGGGAAACATTGCCGATATTCACGGCGGGCAGCTGCAGAATCGCCGTTACAAAGTCCATGACAGAACATTATGTCTTCGTATCCTTCATTTGTAAAAGTTTGCCCGTGCTCGCTATGGCGAGGTCCTGGCGGATCTTCTGCGTCTGCCATGATGATAAAGAAACCACTCGAAATGAACTGGGAAACTCGAAAATAATAATCGTGCGTAAAACGTGTGCGCGTACGCAGTAGTTGATACCAACTAAACCTAATTCTCACTCGGCGTGCGGCGATGGCGTAACTACAATGATGAATAATAACAGCTCTCTCGCTCTCACTCCTCCACTAAGTCAGCTCTTCTCGCTCGCTTCCTCGTCGAGCCGATGCCATAAAACAATCATGGCATGCGAGTCCTTTGAGGACAGTAACGACTTGCTCAAACAGGTAATACAAATTCCTTAAAAATCCAGCCTCTGAGGGTGTCATTGTTGTTTCTCTGCATGTCCTTCAGATACTTGAACGCTTAATATTAATACCTCAAATGAAAGCTTGTTAGATAGAGATATTATTTACATAATTTGCAGATTTCATTACTAGGAGATTTTTTACAGAAAATTGCAGTTTTTATCGAATAAGTTAGTAAAAAAAAGAAAATGAGAATGACATTTAAAAAGCGTAATTTTAAAACGTTTGTAGCTTTTCAACATTTTATTACTTATTATGAACTATTGGAATGTCTGCTATGCGACAATAACAAAAAACTCAAAATCAAGCATGCAGTTTTTTTGTATTTCAATTTTATTCATCTGAAATCGGAATAAAAAATAAAAAACTTAAAATTCAAATAACTCAAAAATGGTTAACTTTTGGATAAGACATGATAAGACAAAATCGGTTCCTTTTGACCGAATCTATCACCCCTTAACAGGAATACGTGACATTAAAAGTCACCCTGTATAGAAAATCCACCTCTAGTGATGGCAGAAATGATATCACTGAATTCAGGAACCACCGGAAACGCATCTTGGGAGAGATCGGGGAATTAGCATTATTGTTGACTGCTTTTCACGAGATTTGGATTAACCACTGTGCCTGGACGACGCGTGCTCGTAACATCATAAATTACCTGCTATATAACATTTACACAGTACTCATTCCTGCTGGAAAGTTTCCATCCCTATTCAAGCACTAGGTAAGCAGAAATGCCTCAAGGTAAATTCACAGGCGCTCAAGGAAGTTGGGAGTATGAAACATACTTGTAGGGTGTACGTATATAATCATAGATGTATTTGTACATGCATAAGGCAGGCTATATGACGCATGTTTCACGCCTTATACATATGTACATATGATGCATAATTTCCATTAGCAAATTGCATATGCTTCTGCAATTAATCAAGAATTTTACTAACTAATAAAAATAAGTTTATTTCCAACAGGCAGATACAACCATCTGCAGGAAATATCAATAAACATCAATAAAGCATAGTAAACAATTACATCGATAAGAATAACAATATAATAACAGTTTATAAGTAAATAATAAACAATAATATACTATCTTACAACTTCATCAAGATAAAGTTCGATTTAGTAGTGTAGTACGAGCCCCTCCCCACTTCAGTTGGTCCACTTCAAGATTTGTACCAAAATATGCCTTTATAAACTAAACATGACGAAACTACTTACTTCTAAAACAATTTATTTTCTCAAAAACATTTTAAATACACTCTAGTCGTAAAAAATACATATTTGAAATCACTTAGACCTATAACTAATAGAACATCTGAACAAATAAACAATGTGCGAATAAATGCGCGAAGTGAACAAAGCAACAATTGAAAGATTACCATTGGGTAACATCACCTTTATTTTTATTACGGCTGAAATTCTTTGCCGGATGTCAAACATTCTTCCATCACTGGTAAAAGCGATTCTTCTAAAATTGCCAAATATTAGTTTGTATCCACATTTCCATCAATAAAATGAAGTTTCCCTACTCCTTTTGATGACATACTGCCCCAGACCATAATGGATGCTGGAAATTTCACTTTTCTCTTCAGACAGTCAACATGGAATGCTTCATTTACTTTTGCGAATAACTCTACTGCGACTGTCACCAGCACAAACTTCGAATCGGGCCTCATCGCTCCAGTGTGTTGCACACCATTGTTGAGGTGTTCATTGTCTATGTTCTAAGCCGATTTTTATTTTGCAGTGGAGTTAATAGTGGCTTTTCTTTGACCTATAAACAAGTTGTGCAACTTTAGGATTTTTTTTCCAACAGCGTCACTCCACAGAGCACTTAATTGTAAATAATTGGCACGCCCGTGTTTCACGATTATTCTTCTTAATGCTCTTCGGTCGGCATTTGTGATATTACTTTTTTTCACATATCGTGGCTTAATATTAACTGAGCCAGTTAAGTTATATCTTCTAACAATATTTCTCATACTGTACCGCGATAAGTCTATCAAAGTTGCAATTTTTTTCTCACTAATAACCTTTCCTCTACCCATTTTGAAAACCTTAACTACCCAAAACTATTTTAAACGCATTCTGACAGCTGTTATTAATAAAAACAATTGCCATGGCTTTTATTTTTCACAGCCACCTATGCGTTATAGACTTATTTTGCATTGAAATGAAAATAGGTTGATATGCTGTAATTGCAACATGTGTTATTTTTATGCTGCAAATTTGATTAGGGAGTGATATAGTTGGTGTTTTCTACTATATATTATCAAAATATTCATTGTTAATATTTTAAACCTATAACACCCTGCTACATTTTTATTATTTGTGTTTGATAAGAAAAAAACTAAGATTTCAATAGTTGGGCCAACTGAAGTGGGAAGGGGCTCGTATTAAGTCATAAAAATGATGCATACTGCGAACATTTTGGAACAGAGCATAACGCTAATTGAGATGAAATTTGGGATTTTCAATTTTCGAAATGGTATGAAATCTCAGAATTTATCGTTTTTTGAAGTATCGTCGTTTTAAAGAGATTTGTAAACGAGATGGCAGATTCAACAAGAGATGAGTTGCTTGATGAAATATTTTAAAGAAAAATAGTGAGCTTCGTCAAAATCAGAGCTTGAAGATCTCATCATTCAGATTTTAGAGTAATAGTACTATAATAACACGATTGAAAAAAAATTCATTAAAATTAGCAACACTTTGGGCTGTATAATTTTCATTTCTGATTCCTCAAACTCCTATCATCAGCTGAAGATCTTCATCCTCAGTTGAGTCTGTTCCAGGTCGATTGAAGATTTAGAAAATGTCAGCCACAACACGAATGGACAACCAAAGTGGAGCTTTGAGTTTTCTCTAAGAACCAGAAGTGCCAGTTACGGAATCAGTTCGATTTTCTGTTGGAGCGGTAATTTCGACCTGCGCATGCTCTGTTCAATTCAGAACTAGCTCGATGGTTTTTCGGGACAAAGCTAATCGAATTCAAAAATATCTACTAAATTTCAAATGCTCTTTGCACCCATTTATCCTCTAACAGCTATGGGAATCTTTTAAATGTAAAGGAAACTCCTCCAATTTAAAATTACCACCTGAAGCGTGAAAGCGGTGGAAAGTATTTTAAGACACCAGATTTGGTGAAATTTCATTACTTGAAACTTAATGTTCACAGACCTTAGTCGTCTTCTGGGTTTTCTATCTGTTATGAGCAAATGTTGAAAATCCCAAAAAATAGCGCTGCTTGGGATTATTTCGAAAAAATTACCAGACCAAAAACTTACAAAGAGGTTTGTATCCTATGCAAAAGCTAGAAAACAGGTTGCATTCATAAAATTGATGGAATGTTTAGGTATATGTATATTGTTTTTTCATAGTTCAGTCTTTCTGATCCTTATTCACTTTCTTGATCTGTATCGTTCGATTGATATCGGTATACGACAAGTCATTTCGGCGCATTCGTATATCAGCAAATTAGGGCAATATTTCCGATACGCCATGTTTTTTGTATGACTTTCTTTTTTTTTGTTTTTGTACCTTGGTACTGCAAAAGATTTGTGTTTACGTGTATCACTGTATCTACGTTCAGTGTAAACATTGCTGTGACTAATCACAAAAAACCGATGTATTTCAATGTTCGACGACAACACATATGTCTTCCTGTATCCACAACTATTCTTTATCCCTTTCCATATGACATGAATAACGGCACCATTACCATTTTATGTCTGCTGATAGGTATTTGAGAAATTCATATTTTATATACGAACGCTGGGACGTATAATAGAAGATCTATCGCTAGCAAATATGTCGCCCAATCCACATGACACTTTATTGGCGTCTGCATCAAGGCATGAAGACTACATAAAATAAAATCACTAGCGGTCGTATTTTAAAGCTGAACAGCTATAGGAATCATCTATTTATTTATTAGAATCTTTTACAAGGATAGGGAACGTCAATCAAAAATCATACAGTGCTTTTCAAAAAGTAATACTCTCCATTCTTTTGTGTTTCTTGTGTTTTTTTATGTCACCTGTGAAAAAAAAAACGATATCAGATGACAATAGGCGTAGAACTAATTTTCTATGGAGTCATGCATTGTTTCTTTATGCAGAATCTAAACAGTAATTAGGAGCTTTTTTGACATAACACTAAGGTACTTTATTTGAATTATATTTATAATCGTTAACGCTGTTCCCTGTGAGGAGGGTAAATGCCAGAATAATCAAAGGCTTAACCAAATAATGACCGCGGTTCATCTCTTGATATTGCTTCTAAACTGATGGACAGTTAGAAAATTTTATCCAAAATCAAGTCTCGACATTTTTGCAACGGAAAGAGATATTGAGTTGCGGTGTTCGAGAGATTCTTTTAGCAAAGTTTGACGCTTTGTCAGATTCTCAAGTTTTGATTTTTCTATGCATCTTTTATCTTTGGACTATCATTAAAAAAGTGATAATTCGAATTTTTCGAAAGTTGGCTGTAACTCAAATTATCGAATTTTTAACTTCCCACTCGACCTCGTATTTTTTTTGGAGGACCCTCTCCATGCCAATAGGACGTTTCTCCAATTTCATCCTAACTACTTACACCTCAAACATGCAATTACTAAGTAACAATAATGGTGATTGTAGACCTGACAGTATAATTATTTTCCAAAAATGCCTCATATTTTTAAAAAAGAATGAGATAATTACATAAGATTATTGGGAGAATGTCGTTTAGTGAGTGATGTAGCTTTAATTTATAATTTTGATCAGTTCTTCCAGCTGTGGATATCAGAATACCGGGGAAAAGTCCTACTTGTATGAACGAGGTAATAAAAAAATACGAGGTTGGGGCGAAATAAATTTTTGCAGGAAGTAAGGCGAACGAGGAGCCTTTGATTCAGTACCTTGGATTTTGTTTTCATCGATGATAACGTCAGGTCGCACAGACCTCGTACGGTTATAAACATTTTCGCATGTTACATTATTGCCTCTGCCATCAAATACTTCAGACCTAAACATAATTGAGCATGTGTGGTCTCGGCAAAAATTTTTAGTGCGGCCAAAACAAAATGCTCCTCAAACAATGGAACGTTTGTCTGAGGCCATTCGAGAATAGTGGAAAACGTATCCCGAGGATTTATCAATAACCTTCTGGAAAGTACGCCACGAAGATGCCAGGCTGTGATCGATGGGCAGGGTGGCCCTATAAGGTACTAATAATATTGCTTGAAATAAATGCAATATTTAACAGTAGGTAAGTAGGTTAAGTGGCTTTCAAGTGTTTTTTTTTCTAAAATGTTAGATATTGTTAATGTTAATTAAAAAATTCTTTGATATTGCTTAAAGATTCAATAGAATCTATTACCTATTATAAAACATCTGCAACGAAGACGCGTACGCCAATGCTGTAAGAGAAAGATGAAAAATTCCAGATAAAAGAATAGCAGTGTTGCAACGGAGCATTTTGAAAAATATTTTTTTCAACCTATTAGCACTCCTTACCAAACCAAAAAATGCTTTTGTTGTTACGCCACTGGAATACACCCTTATATTAAGAGTAGTAACTTGAATTTGTCCATTAAGCTGTTTAATTACATAGTAAAATTCAGAAAGTCGGTTTAAATTACATAATGTCAAAGTTACAAATTGTTACTGCGCGTCGCTGTAGGCAAT